TATCTTCATTCTTTACTCACCAACAGCTGAGACAAACACAAATGTTAACTCTTATTTCTATCACTTCTTCTCTTCTACTGAAGTTAGCATGCTAACAGCTAGCTCCAGGCTTGTATCTTTGATTTTCCTTTTTAATCAACTAACCAGGTGTTTTCTTATACTGTCAGTCACATGATGTTGTCTATAGGAGAATTCATTTGAAGTTTTTGGGGACCAGCTAATTCTGACCGAGCTAACAGTTCACCTGCTCTCTGAGCTAACAGCTAATTCTGTTTTACGTCGTCTCGTTTTTGTGTTGTGTCGTTTCGTTTCATGTCTTCTCGTTTTGTTTCATGTTTCATATCGTTTCTTAAAGACAAGCTGGAGGGGATGTTGGTGGATCCCTGTTTCATGTCCTGGATTGTGGATTAACTGACAAGACGACCACAGTACGTCACGCTGGGTAACTGTATCTCAGTTATACTTATAAATACCAAGGTGTGCACCTGGACATTAAACTGGACTGGTCCTTGAACACTGATGCCATCTACTTGAAGGGGCGGAGCCAGATGTTTTTCCTCAGGAGGCTCAGGTCTTTTGACATCTGCAATGAAATGCTGCACGTTTTATCAGTCAGTGGTGGCCAGTGTAACTGTTTAATGCTGCAGTCTGCGGGGCGAGGGAGGCAGGTGAACGACTGTTGGTCACGCCTGCTCGCGCATCAGGTCTCATCGCGCACAAGCAGCATGTCATTAACTGTATGAGCAACTTATCTCATGGTGCAAAAGTGTCTTACCTCAAAAGTGACAGTAATCTACCAGAAACATGTGTAAAGAACATTAACACTAATCACTGCATCACTGGTGACACGAGTGACTCGGACACATTTAAACACTGCACATGCTGGGCCTCTGCCTGAGGGAGGAGGAGGAACGTCCACGACCAGGCTGCGGTCTAGCAACAAGTTCAGGCACACAACTTGGTCCAGCTGCAGCACCTCGGCTCGCCAAAAGAAAAAGCCAGAAGAGTCGCGTATGGAAATATTTTGTTTTCGAGGCGGATGATGAGAGGTTGTTTATAGACCCGCAAAAGCCCGTTTGTAAACGATGCATTCACACTTTCCAACCACAGTTGAAATGCTGTGCAATAAAAGTTTACTGCTTATATTTTAGCCAAGTATTGTTTTCTTTAATTCTTGAAGGCGACATGCCATTGTTATTTTTCACAGTGTCAAAAGTTGTTTAATTTTATTATTATATCTATTATATGTCCATATTTTTTATGTGTCAGTATTAAAATGTTCTGCAATAAAAAGTTGACTGGCTGTATATTTTAGAAAAGTATTGTTGACTTTAATTCTTGAATTCTTTTTGCTGTGTCAAAGTTGTTTCATTTTATTATATCTATTATTTCCACATTTTGTCTCAGAGCACTATAGCTGAAAAGCTGTGCAATAAAAAGTTGACTGTTTATATTTTAGGTTAGTACTATTTACTTTAAACTCTTGAAGGCTACATTCCACTGTTCTTTGTTTTTTGTTTTTTTATTCGTATTTTTCAATAAAGGAGTGAAAGAGAAATTTATAAATTTAATTATTTTAATTAAATATTTTATCATTTCAATTAATTATAAATTTATTTATTTTTTACTGTGGTATCAAAATAGGTAACGAGAATCGTGGAATTTCATTGGTACTGATATCGACTACTAAATTTCTGGTATCGTGACATCCCTTATACCAACCATCCTCTCCACAACAATCTGGCAGGACAGAGAAGCAGCTGCAGCAAACGTCTCATCTCACTGCGCTGCAGAACAGAGAGGTTCAGGAGATCCTTTGTTCCTCTGCCATCAGGCTGTACAACACCTCAGCCAAAGGAAGGGGACTAATCGAATTATTATTGTTTATTTATTATCAACTGTTATTATTATTATAAACAATGAGCTAATGGTCACATGAATTTCCCCTCGGGGATAAATAAAGTATCTATCTATCTATCTTTGTTTCATGTCGTTTCACTGAGTTTCTTGTCGTGTTGTTATGTTTCGGGTTGTTTCGTGTTTGTTTCATGTCGTTCCATTTGTTTTGTGTCTTTTTGTGTCAGGCTCATTAATATAATGTAAATAAACTAATGAATGAATTGAAATCAGTGACTGGGTTACAGTTCAGACAATAAAGTGAGGAACAGTAATGATAACAGGTGGTGCACCTGTGACGTGCTCACCTCCACCTGTCTGGTCTCAGTTTGATGATGTCATTCATTCTCCTGCTGAATCAAACAGGACACAAATTAAACCACAGAAAAAAAGACAACTCATCATAAATAATAGTGACTCCTCCCCTCACCTCCAGTCACAACCCTCTGACCCCTCCCACCAGCTTCTTGTTGCCCCCCCCCACTCTTGGAAATGTTAAATTATTCACTGAATTATGAACTATGAAGGTCACGAATACACAAAGAGCAGTTCATTAATGCTGAGCTGAGCAGCTCATTAATACATGTATTGATCTGACTGCTGCACATCAGGCAAGGTCAGTGTGTGTGTGTGTGTGTGTGTGTGTGTGTGTGTGTGTGTGTGTGTGTGTGTGTGTGTGTGTGTGTGTGTGTGTGTGTGTGTGTGTGTGTGTAACTCTGATCATTGTTAAAGCAGACTCAGGTTAATCTCCGTCTGTGAATCAGGAGGCTTCATTGATCATGTGACGCTGATTTAAATCTCCTCTCAGTCTTAGTGTGTTTACAGAATCAGCTACTGTCACTGGTCCTGGTCCTGGTCCTGGTCCTGGTCCTGGTCCTGGTCCTGGTCCTGGTCCTGTAACAGGTCTTATTCCTGAAAGTCCTGAAAGGTTTTTTTATTTATTCAGATTTACCCCAGACTGTTCAGGACTCCTTTTTCTTCAGACTGGACCAGGGCTAAACGGGAACCAAGTCCTCAGGAAACATGGTCACAGTCTCTGTCTGAAGTTCAAGTTCAGTTTCCTCTCTCATGTGTATCTGACGCATGAAGGTGTGTCACAGAAGACCAGGTCCAGGTCTCTGTCAGGTCCAGGTCTCTGTCAGGTCCAGGTCTCTGTCAGGCTCAGGTCTACTCTGACCTCTGCCCTCTGATCGACACAGAGCTGCTGCTCACTGATGTAAAAACTAAATTAACATCCAGGAGATTAGCAGCTCGAGAATCAAACTAGCATCTGACACCAACAATCAAAAAGCTCAGATTCTCCGAGATCATGTTTCACCTGGANCAGGTCTCTGTCAGGTCCAGGTCTCTGTCAGGTCCAGGTCTCTGTCAGGTCCAGGTCTCTGTCAGGCTCAGGTCTCCTCTGACCTCTGACCTCTGATCGACACAGAGCTGCTGCTCACTGATGTAAAAACTAAATTAACATCCAGGAGATTAGCAGCTCGAGAATCAAACTAGCATCTGACACCAACAATCAAAAAGCTCAGATTCTCCGAGATCATGTTTCACCTGGATCTGCTGCTGCCACGTGATTGGCCGACTTGATAGTTGTACACATATGCAGGTGTACATGTGTTCCTAATAAAGTGCTGCTTTAGTTTCTGATGCTGTGCCTCCACCTTCTGGACAAAACAGGTAACACCTTCAACTCTGGTTTGGATCTGTTCAGAGCTGTGGAGACCTTGGTGTCAGGACTAAGAGAAGGAGAACAGGTGACAGAGAACAGGTGACGGAGATCAGGTGAAAAATGAGAGGGACGCCCCTGATCTGAAAGACCAGACTAGACCAGACTGGGCTGAGACTGTCTTGTGTGCAGGGATGGTGATGACAGAGGAACTCAGTGGCTGAAAAGGGACCATGAGGCTGAAAGACAGAGTCCAAGTACATGGGGCAGATACAGAAGTCTTTCTGAAGACATGAGATTGAACCTGATTCACTAACACAACTGGGTTAACAGGAAGTAACTGAACAATCAGACCAGTAATGGACAGATAAACTAAAAAGAAAAATAACAGAAATTCAAATAGAAAAGTATTTGATCTAGTCCCAACAAAAAAAAACAAGAAACATGTTTAAGTGAAAGGTTTAGAAAGAAAGAAAGAAAGAAAGAAAGAAAGAAAGAAAGAAAGAAAAAGATAAGATGTATGTACACTATGTGTACATGTTGTCATCTGTTCAGTGGTTTAATAAAGTTTTTCATTCAAAAGCAGCTTGAGGTCGTCTCTGTCCTCAGTGTCAAACCACATGAAGAAAGAGCTTTAAACAACAAACTACATAAAACAAATCCTGTCGTAACTAAAATCATGTTATCGTCGATCAATAGTCTGAAAACTTTTCTGTGATCAAACGTCATGAAGAGTCATGACTTCTCACCGTATAACTGATTATTAAACACACAGAAACTGCGTCTGCTAATGTTCATTTTAATATTAATGTAAGTGTTAATGTTAATAATATGTTGTTAAATAATGCGAAAAAACAGGTTGTGTAAATCCAGGTTGTGTAAGGTTTGCGTCAAGTTAGCCGGAATGAGTCCAGATATGTAACCTAGTTCCGGTCGTTGAGGGCTACCTTCAAAATAAGAGCAGACATGACACTTTGGGAGAAAGGGAGAATACTTAATGGTCCGTAGAGGAGGGGTCAGCCCTTAAATTTAACGGTGGGTCAGCTTTTTCATTTAGTTTTCAAGTATATGATGTCTATATATGGTGTCAATGTATTGTTTGTTAGAATATTTTGTTTTGAGTATCTTACTTTATTTCAGCATAAAATTGATTCATTAAACTTTTTCCATTTTTCCCGTTTGTAAGTGACTTACAGTTACAGATGTTCATACTCATTTGCCAAAACACACAGCAACAACACCCACCCTCTATAAATTATCATTCAAGAAACATACCCATATGTTTGTCTCATTTATCTCAGTAGAGAGGAACGTCGAGTAGAAAACTGTTAGGAATGGTTAAAATAAAGGTTTTAATCTGACAGTGGTGACCGGGACGTCACATGTAATTACAATCCTGCGCACTTCACACATGCTGTTATTATTTTGAAGGTTCAGACCGGAAGCATCCTGTGCCCGGCTCGTCGCTGGTCCAGCAGCCTCTTCCAGCCCAGAGAACCGCAGACAAGATGGCGGCGCTACGAGTCGTGGTGTTATCGGGGAGTGGGAGAGCTCTCCTCAGCGCACCGAAAATTATCAAGACGCCCAAGGTAGGTCGATGGATGGGAGTTATATTCATCACCTGGGCCTGTGTTTAAAACAGCGGGTAGATAGAAAGGCGTCCCGGCAGCGGGCTAATGTTAGCCCGACTGCTGTCATCGGGGTGAGACAAGGTCACTCGTGTTCCCACTCTTTTCAGGATGTCGTTAATAACGGTGGGTTTTACTACTGAGATATTTAGTCATTGTTGAAACATGGAGACCGACACCGATAAGGGAAACGCTATAACAACCCCCACAGACGGCTCAAACTCGGTATTCATCAGTACATAAGCGGGCTAGGCTAGCCGGTTAGCTAACCCATTATGCAGGATCAACCTGCCAGTTAACGGGCTCGTTCTTGAAAGTTAAACTTATATCTCAGCTAACAGTACGTGGTTATAAGCTTCCACACCAGACTGTGTGATCATAGACTTTGCTGTTGATTTAGTGTTGAACCAACTGTCAGAAACAGTGACGGCTAATGTAGCTGAGCTAATCAGCTTGCTAGCGAGTTAGCATTTCAAGGACTGAAAGGACTTCCGGCGGAGGAGTCCTGTGAGCTGCTGTATCCTTCATCTGTCCCCGCTGTCCCTCAGAGAGAGAGCCGGGGTGAAGAGTCTGTTCCCCTGATCAGGGTCTGATGGTGGGAGCAGCTCTGACCCTTCACCCCACTAACAGCAACAATAACACCATGTGAAGTTAACTGTAAAGCAGCTGCAGTCAAAACCCCACTGCAGTGAATGTGCACACGTATTCCCAGCACACTGCACTTAAAGTAAAGTAAAACACTCCCTTTGGCGCCTTCAGATAGCTGACAGGCAGAGCCTTTATTAACACATTACATATTTTATAATAAAGCAAAACTAAAATAATATTTTCCAGGAGAAACTAGAAACTGTCCTGTTACTTCTGTTGCAGGAGAAGTTCTTACTTAATCATTTGTTTTAATACATAGATGTGACCTCATGTGAATCACAGCTTAACTTTACACAACTGGACACAGAGCAGGTCTGATAACACCTGTGTGGATATGTGTCCAAGGCCTTGAGTCAATATTAATGTAGCATATCTTATAAAGAGATCATATGTTTTGTGAATATAATTAGATAATTATAGTTGTCAGTTATATGAAGAGAAGGAAAGTACAATATTTCCCTCTACAGTACGGTGAAGTAATGAAATATTAAGTAACCTAAATTTGAAATATTCAAGTAAAATACAAATATCTCAGAATCAGAATCTTTTATTGATCCCCTGAGAGTAGCGTGATTTCAGGCTGGAGGTAGAGGATGATGTGTGTGTGTGTGTGTGTGTGTGTGTGTGTGATGCTATCATGTGACTGTTGCCTGGTTACAGAAGCACCAGTGAAGGGCAGTTTCATAAGGACGACCAGCGTGCTCACTCGAAGTAAAGACAGTTTGAACTCTGACTCTGAGCTGAATGTGGAAAACTCAGTCATGTCGTCAACACTGCTGTTATTTCAATAATTACACTAACTACAGCTGAAGTTATTATTACATCATCAGAAGATTATTATTATTGTAGTGATGTATTAACATGACTTTAACCTGAGACGTGGCAGCTGCTTTTTTTTGACCTGTGTCATATTCAGCTTCCACAAATTAAGATTTCCAATATGGAATCAAATATCTTTGACAAGTTATAAATCAAACAAGGGGAGAACGAGTTGATAAAATAATCAGTGAATTAATCAGTGAGGTAAATAATAGATGTTGGTGTAAACACTGGTTGACCTCGGTCAAAGCTTCAGATGTTGATGAGCATTAATAAATGTAAACAAACACTATTGACACAGTAATAAAGGTTTATCAAAGACTTTAAATCCTCAGATCAATACTGCTGATGTTTGAACTCAATCATTAGTTTTGGATTTGAAAGTGAAGAAAGTGAAAAATGCTGCAGCTTGTTTCGTCCAATCAGAAGCTAACACTGTCAATGACATGTACGACACGCTGCACAATCAGCACAGATCAATAATCAATAACGATGATGGTCACTCTCTGTTCCGCTGTAGGCTAACATGTCCTTCGCCAGTCTGCCGCGGAACAAGAAGGTTGCCCTGACAACGCTAGGTGTGGTCACAGCCGGGGGGGCGGGGCTCGCTCTGATGCTGCACCAGTCCGTCAAAGCCTCCGACCTGGAGCTCCACCCCCCGAACTACCCCTGGAGCCACGCCGGACCTCTGTCCTCTCTGGACCACGCCAGGTACACACACAGAGAGACACACACACAGAGAGACACACACAGGCTGCAGTTATCAAACACTGTCACTAATCACTCGCCCTCTCTCTCTCTGACTCTGCCCCCTCAGCATTCGCCGTGGTTACCAGGTGTATAAACAGGTGTGTTCAGCCTGCCACAGTATGGAGTACCTGGCCTTCAGGAACCTGGTGGGAGTGTCGCACACGGAGGCCGAGGTGAAGACCATCGCTGAGGAGGTGAGCCTGTGTGTGTGTGTGTGTCTTTGTCTCTGTGTGTGTGTGTGTGTGTGTGTGTGTGTGTGTGTGTCTCTGTGTGTGTGTCTCTGTGTGTGTGTGTGTGTGTCTCTGTGTGTGTGTGTCTCTGTGTGTGTGTGTGTCTTTGTCTCTGTGTGTGTGTGTGTGTCTTTGTCTCTGTGTGTGTGTGTGTTTGTGTCTTTGTCTCTGTCTGTGTGTGTGTGTGTGTGTGTCTTTGTCTCTGTGTGTGTGTGTGTGTGTGTGTGTCTTTGTCTCTGTGTGTGTGTGTGTGTGTCTTTGTCTCTGTGTGTGTGTGTGTGTGTGTGTGTGTCTTTGTCTCTGTGTGTGTGTCTCTGTGTGTGTGTGTCTCTGTGTGTGTGTGTGTCTTTGTCTGTGTGTGTGTCTTTGTCTCTCTGTGTGTCTCTTGTGTGTCTCTTGTGTGTATATATATGTACTCTTACCTGTCCCTGTCCTCAGGTGGAGGTGGTGGACGGTCCTGATGAGAGTGGGGAGATGTTCACTCGTCCAGGTAAACTGTCGGACTACTTCCCGAAGCCGTACCCGAACCCTGAGGCAGCCCGCGTCGCCAACAACGGAGCGCTGCCCCCCGACCTCAGCTACATCGTCAACGCCAGGTAACGACCAGGAAGCTGACAGGTGAGAGTGACCTGTGTGAGTGTGTGGTGTTCACCTGCCCTCCCTCTGCCCTCAGACATGGAGGAGAGGACTACGTGTTCAGCCTGCTCACAGGATACTGTGAGCCCCCCGCCGGAGTCAGCGTCAGAGAGGGACTCTACTACAACCCCTACTTCCCCGGACAGGCCATTGGCATGGCTCCGCCCATCTACAACGAGGTGCTGGAGTACGAAGATGGTGAGTGTGTGTGTGTGTGAGTGTGTGTGTGTGTGTTTGATTGCACTATAAACAAAGCAGCATCGTCAGCTTTTCCTCAGCTTCCAACTACTAATACATATATATATACACACACACCCAATACAGAAGAGCAAATAACATAAATATATATATGATGTGAGACGTGACAAAATAAACTCAAATCATTTTCAAAGTCATTTACAGAAATGACAACTTGTTGAAGGAAAATATAAAATCCTGTTTGTTCAGCTCTTCCATCACAGACGCTCAGAAGAGAACTGAGGATAAATATTGACTAGTCTCAGTTTTTACTGAAACTTCAGCTTTAGTTTTATTCAACATTTATTTACCAGGAAAGACATGAAGAAGAAAGTCTTATTAACAATGACGCCTGTCACATGAACAAGAAAACAAACAAAAACACAAGAGAAGAAGAATGACAAGTTAATCAAATGAAACAGAAGGTTTTTAACAGCAGTGACAGATGAATTTAGACACCAGGCTGGAGGACGTGTGTGACGTCAGGAGACACTGATGAAGTTTGCTTCACTTACAGCTGCTTCCTCACAACAGGGAACAGGAAGTAGATTACAAAATAAAAACATGCCCTGATACTATGAGTTTAAAATTCCTAATTATGTGAAAGTGTCAAAATCTCACAGTTAATATAATTTAGATATAAATAAATGATGAAGTGAAGTGACGTCTGCTGAGTGAGGTAAGTCCAGAGGACGGTCCGTTGACAAGTCGAGGAGATGAGTTCACTACAGAACAAAGTGTTGATGATGATGATGATGATGATGATGATGATGATGAAGGTAGAAACATAGACTGAGAGCACAGGATACAAGCAGCAGTTTGTAGTGTAATAACAGAGGTTTCAGTCAGACTGTGGAGGGCGTATACTGTTATAAAAATCATGGGATTATAATGAGTGATCCCAGAGTCTTCACATAGACCCAAAGACCTGAGGTTAGGTCACTGTGAAATATCACGTCACAGATCTAACTTTAGAAAATCAGCTTTCTCCATGAGGACAGTGAACACATCATCAACTAAAATCACATTAACTCAGCTATAAATTCATTTATAACAAAGGTTCAGAGAATCAAACCAGAGCTGTTCTCATCTCTAGATCATTATTTCTGTTAATTGTCTTTGTTCGACTGTTTGTAGCTTGTTGTTGTTGTTGTTGTTGTTGTCTGTCTTCAGACTGAACATCTGTATATTTGTAGATAATTGTAGGATATTATCCCTGTGTTGTTTTTGTTATTGACAGATTTAATGACATTAAACATGTAAAAGTCAATTAGAGACGGGAGAGGAGAATCAGCAGCAGATAGAAACTCTCTGTGCAACACGTTAGATTCATGATCTGTTTTCAATCTACGTCAAACTGTAAACTGTCCCTGTTAAATATGTAGATAAACGGAAAATAAATAAATAGACAAATAAACTAAGTGTATAATCAGTCCACACCTCCGCTGCATTATGTGACAGATCGAGGTCACGTGATCTAATGTTAAAATGAGGCGTCGAGTTCTTCCTCAGGGTTCTTTATAAAAACCTGCAGAAGAAGAGTTTCCGCTCCAGCTGATTTATTTGTTTGTTCATTTGTTTGTTCGTCTACAAACACATGAACTTTATTTCATGTTGCTGGGTCGTGAAACACTGACCTCATCACTCAGCCTCTGTGTGAAGGAGAGTGATTTACACATGTTGTAATAAGAATCACGGTGCTGATGTTTGTGTGTCTGTTGCCATAGGAACCCCCGCCACCATGAGCCAGGTTGCTAAGGATGTGTGTACCTTCCTGAGGTGGGCTGCCGAGCCGGAGCATGACCAGCGCAAACGCATGGGACTGAAGGTACGGCGTCCAGCAGGGACTCAGTCAGCTGGTCCAGACTGGTGATTACTGGATCAGTTCTAAGATGTTTATGTGGTTAGACAGGTGATCCAGTCAGGAGTCAGGTGTAGAGGGAGGTGTCAGAGTCACCTGACCTGACAGTAAACTCTCTGTAGAACAGGTGTAAAACAGTGTCACATGTCGAAGGACTCACCTGTCTCCTCTGGTTCTTCCAGCTGCTGATGGGCTCGGCCATCCTCATCCCTCTGTTGTACTACCTGAAGAGACACAGGTGGTCTGTGCTGAAGAGCAGGAAGATCGCCTACAGGCCCCCCAAGTAAAAGGAAACCCCCCCATCTGGGCCTAAAAGCTACCAGAGAGGGCTGCGTTCAATCACCCCACAACGCTCAGCTCACCATGATCACATGGACATAGAACAACTGACCAACACACACACACACACACACCCTTCTACAAGGGTGGAGAGACCGGGGTTAATATATAAATATGCAGAAAAAGGCCTTTTTTTAGACGTGTAGAAACGATGTATGACATGTTTCCTGTTTGTGGAGCATCGTGGTGCCGGTTTGTGTAAGAGAGTTGTGGTGTTTTTGAACGCACCCTCCACAAAGTTAATGTTTGTTTGATCTGCATGGAGGCATGGCTGGTATCAGTTCATTTCCAATCAGACACCAGTTACCGTCTCTGTAAGATACTCCACAACCAGACGAGAGACGCCGTGAAACATCCGTCTCCAGAGCGTCAGTGAACTCACCGACCTGAACCTCTGTTCCACTGTACAAATAAATTATGTTCAAGGAGACCGTGTGGAGTCTGGTTCTGTTACTGCCGATACTCTGTCCTATAAATAATAAACTGACCTGAACCAACTCCAGACCTCAGCATCGTCATCATCATCATCATCATGTCAGTGTGTGGCTTTCTAACACCAGGTAGAACCAGAATCACCTCCTCCTCCGCTCAGACTGGTTTCAGGTCACATCTCTGTTCAGTGGCGGCGGCAGGATTATATTTCCTAGTACACACAGGAACGGCCTGTCGCTACCGTTAGGTTTCACACACACGTCTAGTCATCGAGAGAGAGAGAGAGAGAGAGACCATGAAACTGATCAGCCTCTGACCACATTCATTTCAAAGACCAACAGCAGCAGCTGAATCACAGGCTACAATGAACTGTTAGAAACTATACTGAACGTCCCTGAGAAACATGAAGCAACAGATTCCTTCATTTATCATCATCACCACAAGAATAGTTGTGTAATTACCAAAGACAGTAATAACGATACACATCAGACCAAACCAAGCTGCTGCAATGAACAATCAAAAACCACGAGACAGTAAAGTGAAACAGTATTCCTCCTGCCTGAAGTTTATCCTGCGTCTGAACGTGACATCACACTCTTACAGAACGACATGCACATGAATGCAATATGATGATGTTCATGGGGGGGGCTGAAAGGTAACCAGCAGGTGATTCACCAGAGATGGAAGGTTTGTGCTGATCTCTAGAACCATCTTAGAAAAAACACTCTGTCCTACATGTGATGAACAGGATTTTTAACCAGTTGTCTCTGAATCAAAACAAAGATGGCCGCCGTCACTGGCTCAAGGACAGGAACCAGAGTGGAACCTGGTGAGTGAGTTTAAAATCTGTATTTACACTTCTTCATCTGGATGGTTAGAAGAAGAAAATCATTAGTATTTTCAAACAACCGTCTGGGCTGTTAATTATCTGTCAGAGAAACCAGCAGTCACCTGTATGATCTGTATGTTTGCTAATACATGAGAACAACAGCTGAAATATCAGTCCTGAAATAAATCCTCCTTCATGAAGGTTCACGTTTAATTGTAAAGCACATTTAAAACAACCAGGGTTGACCAAAGTGCTGTACAATAAAATACAACAAGAAACACACAACATAAAAAAAGCTCAAATCTGATGCGTCAATAATCTCATGGTCTGAGACAGACATGGAACAGTTTGAATTAAAAACACAACGGATAAAAGTGAAAGATGAAAACCTGAGGAAAGCCAACAAAAACATGTTTTATTCAAACTGTTTCAGAGAAGAGTTCAATCAACTTCATGGTCCATCCCATTCATATAACTGACGCAAATCAAAATGACCACAAATACTATGAGGTGAAGTCTGTTTATCCATATAAACAAAAAGTCAAAAGTCACTGATGCAGGGTTTGAATTATGGGGAGGATTGAGGGGGTCTGACCCCTGATTAAGACTTGGAGCTTCTCAAAAGAGGTAAAAACTACAGTTTATACACATTTCTTACCTGTTTTTGTAATTATTACTATATATTTTCTCATATTAATCTCTGGAAGAATCTTGTGACACCCCTAAAGTGGACTGTACCATTTCTAACGTCTGGTCTAGTTACAGTTTCTAACTTTAGCCTAAAGTCACAGTTTAGCTAACTAATGTTAGCTAGTTTCTAAGTTTAGCATTAAGCTAGGACAGGAAGTTGACAAAGTGTAGCAGGAAGACCAGAACAACAACATTCAGCTGTGTTTGTCACTGAGCTGCTGAAATCACACTCAGTGGACATGAACACGTTTGACTGCTTTATTAGTTCATGAAGAAAAAAGTCATCAGTTAGTTGAGTGAACAGACATCATCAGTAATTAATGAGAGAGAAACAGCAGAGATCAAAGATATGACACGTTGTGACTGTGAACAAACTGGACACAGACTGTGATCTGTACAAACACTGTTACTGTTACTGTCCTGAACAGGAGGAACAAACCTCCAGTCCTGTCAGCTCTCAACAGGCAACATGGACTTCTTCTACACGTTAGACCATGTTTGAATGACAGGAAGCAGATATCATGTGACATCCACGTCTGAAGGTTCAGTGGTCAGAGACTCTTCAGGATCAATGAGCTCTGGTTCCATATTTCAATCTAACAGACAACAGCTCTGACATATTACACACTATATCAACACACATCAACACAATGATATTTATATACATTATATATAGAGAAATATACAGTGATGCTGTTACACATTCAACCTGCCCCCCTCCTCCCCCCTCCACCCCCCTCCAACCTCCCTCAACCTCCCCTCCACCTCCCTCCACCTCCTTCCTCCTCCCTCCACCTCCCCCACCCCCTCCCCTCCCTACCCTCCCTCCACCTCCCTCCACCTCCCTCAACCCCTCCCCTCCCTCCACCTCTCCACCTCCTAACTCCTCCCCTCCACCTCCCTCACTCTCCCTCCTCCCCCTCCTCCCCTCCACCTCCCTCCTCCCCCTCCACGCCTCCTCCTCCCTCCACCCCCTCCAACCATCCTCCAGCCCCCGCTCCTCCTCCCTCCTCCCTCACAACCCCCGCTCCAGCCTCCCTCCAACTCCCTCCACCCCCCTACCCAACCTTCCTCCTATCAAGCCTTCCTGAGGGCAGCTGTGGATCCTCCAGCAGGGGGCGCTGCTGGACTCTGTCCACTGCAGCCTTGTAGTTCTTCAGGAATGAGAGGTCTTCAGCTCTCAGCTCGTCCTCTGTGGCTCTGACTGTGTGTGACAGAGCTGCTATCTCTCTGCTCAGAGCCTCCATCTTCTCCTTCATCATGTGACTCTTCAGCTCCTCTTCCTCCCTCAGAGCAGTGATCCTGGCCTCCTCTTCCTCCTGTAGAAACTGGTGAAGCTTCTTAAAGTGCTCCTTGATCTGGCTCTCAGTGTGTCGGGCCTGGACCTTGATGTGTTGTGCTGTTTGGTCACAGTCTCCTTTAACTCGTTCAAACAGCTTCAGTTTCTCTTGTAAAGGCTTCAGGGCTTTCTGGAGCTCCTCTCTGTGATCCTCTGCAGCTTCATCAACGGGTCTGAAGCTGTGGTTGGTGTGTGTCTTTGAGTCTCGACAGACGAGACACACTGGCTGCTGGTGGTCCAGACAGAAGAGTCTGAGTTTCTCAGAGTGCAGACTGCAGAGAGGCTCAGACCCTGCTGAAGGTCTCTGATGTCTCTGCAGTAAGAAGTCCTCACACAGGTTCTTCAGGGACAAAGAAACTGGTGGGTTAGACTTTGATGATCTCCTCTTACATACTGGATACTGTTGTATTACCTTCTCTCTCCACCAGCTCTGCAGACATGGTTTTTATCTGTGACCTTTGACCTGGTTCGTCTCTGGTGAATCAGTCACTTTACTGTTGAGCTTTGAGCTCAGTTATCTGATGCAGTTTAACTGTGACTCAGGACGATTTACAATCTGAAGAGTTTGTCTAAGATTATCAGTTACAGACAGATACTGTTAACCCTCCACTGTCTGGATACATGTTTATATTTATGTGTTTTACATGTTTCCTCTTCTGTCATCTGTTCATTTCTTCAGAACATCAGACTGAGTCACACAGGAAATGATATGTACAAACTACTGGTCAGGTGTCCATGACATTAACTGTGATATTAATGATTCCTGAAGGAAGAACAATATGTTGTGACCCTCTGACCTCCCTGGACGCAGCACAGTCTCATGAACACATTAATGTTCATCAGAGAATGAGCCTTTAATCATGACAGGGAATATTGTAATCCATCCTCATCCCAAACTGTTGTTTTCATCCATCCATCTTCTGACTGAAGGGTGGAGTTGTACATCATCCGACCTCATGAAGACTGAGAAGCAGCTTCTCTCTCCTCCTGGTTGGATGTGAACCGAGGCATCCAGCAGAAATCCTGATCAGAGTTTTCTCTGAGCTCCTCACGTCTCAGGCTCCGTCCACACGACTACGTTTTGGTTTTAAAATGCATCTCTTTTCCTACGTTTTCTCCTCCATCCACATGAGCACTGGACCTGTTTCACTTTGAAAACTCTGGGGTTGTGTTTTATTCTGAAACTCTGGGGTTGTGTTTTATTCTGAAACTCTGGGGTTGTGTTGTAGTCTGAAAACTCTGGGGTCAGTGTTGTAGTCTGGACAGAGTGAGACCTCTGCAAATGATGAGGTCACAGCCAGGGTCTCTCCTGATTGGCTGTCATCAGCCTGGACTACCAGTGGTGAATACAACATGATAATGAATGACAGAGTTACTGACCTTGTTGTCTTTGCTAGCAGTTGCTGTTCACTTACATTCTCTGTTTTAATGCTACAACTGTCTCTGCTGCTCCTCCTTCAGAGGCTTTACTGCAGAGGAGACAAGCTACTTCCTGTTTACACCGGCTCACACATGCTCAAACAGTTGCACAGCTTCCCAAGGTTTCCAGGTCAGCTGTTTCCCTCTTCCTCCAGTCTTATGCTGAACTAAAATAAGCTAACCTCCTAGAGACATGAGATTAAACTGGATCTTCTGTCTTGATATCTTGGAGAAAGTCAATCAGTTTATTTCCAGATAGTTGAACTCTTCCTTCTCTGCGGTCACACAGAGTCAGAGTTCAGGTGTCCTTCCTCTTCACCTGTGACCCACCCCACCCCCACCCCCACCCCCCAATGAGGGATAAACAAACAAGTGTGCTGCTGGTTCATTAGCAGCTAATCTGGTTGTGAAAAGGTTTTCCTCCCTGCTGCTTCCACCTGCATTCAGACGCTACGAGCTTCATCTGCATCACAACACACACAGATTAGGCTAATAGCATTATTCTAGTCTCATTATCATTATTATTATTATTATTATTATTATCATTATTATTATTATTAGTTTCAACTCAGACCTGCAGCAGGAGGACGGACCCTCCTCTGTCACAACTTACTGATTTTCTACTTTGGTAATTCAGAAGAAAAGAAGGTGATTCGCTTTGTGTTGCTGTCTAATCTCTCTCACTCACACACACACACACACACAGACACTCACACACACACACACACACACACACAGACACACACACACACACACACACACACACACACACACACACACACACACACACACAGAGACACACACACACACACACCATTCATCGGCACAACAGGACACACACACACACACACACACACAAACTTAGTATCACCTGAGGGGAAACTCAGGTGCAGAGCCAGATCTAAATGACTGGAAGCATCTTTAACTCTTCTTAAAACATTTGATCAGAAAGCTTTTTATGAATGTTTGGTATGTTGTTGCGTTTTATTTAGTTGTTTTATTTTGTGTTTTATTTTGTAGTGTTTTATTTTGTGTTTTATTTTGTAGGGTTTTATTTTGTTGTTTTATTTGGTGTTTAATTTTGTAGGGTTTTATTTTGTTTTTTATTTTGTTGTGTTTTATTTTCTTATGATACCAACAATCTATATTTTCATCTCACGTACTTCTGTTTTATGATGTTTGTTTTTAATCGCTGTCTTTATTTGTATTTTTATTTCTGTAAAGCACTTATAAATAAAGGTTATTATATATAAGGTTATAATATATAAGCTAAAATGAAAAGTTTGTCAGTCACACACACACACACCACACACACACGCACACACACACACACACACACACACACACACACACACACACACACACACACACAGATTAGCTGTGGACCTCAGGGAGTCTCATTCACATGGTAAACCTCCTGTAGTTTGGTTGGAGCTCGTCGTCTCATTTAAAGCAGCTTCAGTCTGCGGCTCCGTCTCCGGAGCAACACTCAGTTTCTTCACGGTGGATTCAGAAGAAGTTGTTTTGGTTGTTTTCAGATCTCGGGGAACTTCCTGCTCATTGATCAGACACGTTGGTTGTCATGGCGTCCGCCGTGGCAGCAGACAGCAGATCGACCTTCTCCATCGATCGGATTCTGGGTCTGGATCTGGATCCAGCAGGAAACTGCCTGAACCTCCACCGGCCGTGGACAGGTGAGACAGACACCTTCCTCTGAAGAGTCTGAAGAACAGGAGGGAAATACAGAACTGATGCATTATCAATATTGAATATTGACAGATTAAATGTGAGGATGATGATGGACAGGTTTCAGTCTGATGAGTGGATCAGAGCAGTGTGTCTCTGTGGATGAAGGTCACATGTCAAATCCACTTTAAAGTATAAAATCATAAAGAGACAAAATCTTTTCAGAATAAAAGCACCTTCCTATTAACAGAAATGTACACTGTGGCTCGTTCGTGTCACTGTCCGACTTCAGTATCTTTCATTCACATTTTAAATGAATCAGCTGCTGTAATTAAAACATTCCTGTGTAATCTGACACCTTCAGGTAAACAGTTCACCTGTCAATCAACAGACCAGTGTTACTCTTGTCACATGAGAAAAGGTCTGAATGACTTTTATTTGCTTTGTGCTTCATATGTGATTTAACAACAGCTGTTAACGAGGTGCTCTGTTAATTACTCAGGGTCTCCTCAGCTCCATCACATTTAACTCATTCAACTTAATTGAACTAAATGAACTAAGATAAACCTAAACACACTGTTGATTCAACCCAGTTGATATATATATATGTGTGTGTGTGTGTGTGTGTGTGTGTGTTTACTGATGTACATTGTATAATTTGTTGAGAACAAAATGACGTAACAACGGTCAATGGAAAACACATATATGTATATACATATCTTAATGATGATCCACAGAGAACAGAGGAAACAGCCTCTGCTTCATCCATCAGCATCCTCATCCTCAGCTGACACACAGACCAACATCAAACTGGTACGCTGGACGCCGACCGCGCACCGCCTTCACCAACAGCCAGGTAATCAATCAATCCATCAATCGATCGATCAATCAATCAATCAATCCATCAATCAATCGATCGATCAATCCATCAATCCATCAATCAATCGATCGATCGATCAATCCATCAATCAATCAATCAATCCATCAATCAATCGATCAATCAATCAATCCATCAATCAATCGATCGATCAATCCATCAATCAATCAATCGATCGATCGATCGATCGATCGATCAATCCATCCATCAATCAATCATTCAAACGATCAATGAATGAGTCATTCACTCCGTGTCTGTGTCTCTGTGTGTGTGTGTGTGTCTCTGTGTGTGTCTCTGTGTGTCTCTGTGTGTGTCTCTGTGTGTCTCTGTGTGTGTCTCTGTGTGTCTCTGTGTGTGTCTCTGTGTGTCTCTGTGTGTGTCTCTGTGTGTCTCTGTGTGTGTCTCTGTGTGTCTCTGTGTGTGTCTCTGTGTGTCTCTGTGTGTGTCTCTGTGTGTCTCTGTGTGTGTCTCTGTGTGTCTCTGTGTGTGTCTCTGTGTGTCTCTGTGTGTGTCTCTGTGTGTCTCTGTGTGTGTCTCTGTGTGTCTCTGTGTGTGTCTCTGTGTGTCTCTGTGTGTGTCTCTGTGTGTCTCTGTGTGTGTCTCTGTGTGTCTCTGTGTGTGTCTCTGTGTGTCTCTGTGTGTGTCTCTGTGTGTCTCTGTGTGTGTCTCTGTGTGTCTCTGTGTGTGTCTCTGTGTGTCTCTGTGTGTGTCTCTGTGTGTCTCTGTGTGTGTCTCTGTGTGTCTCTGTGTGTGTCTCTGTGTGTCTCTGTGTGTGTCTCTGTGTGTCTCTGTGTGTGTCTCTGTGTGTCTCTGTGTGTGTGTCTCTGTGTGTGGGTGTGTGTCTCTGTGTGTGTGTGCAGGTGAGCGTCCTGGAGACAGTGTTCCAGGTGAACTGTTACCCAGGGATCCAGCTGAGGGAGCAGCTGGCTGTGAGACTGGACCTGGACGAGGACCGGATCCAGGTTGAGACTGAGTTTCATTTCTTGTGGTTGAAGTTCTTCCTCCAGAGTCTCAGTACGACAGCAGGACAGTTCCACAGAGAGGGGACTTCAGAGTCTGTAACATGATATATGATTAATAATCTATAATATACATATCTTAAATTAGAACATAAAGTTCTTCTTCTCCTCTCAGATCTGGTTTCAGAACCGGCGAGCCAAGCTGAGGCGTTCCCTCAGAGAGACCCGTCTGCGGCTGGTCCAGACGGCCGTGGCTGACCTGGGGGTCATAGGTCAACTGAAGGTCAGTGACCAGGAGCTCGCCTCCCGCATCCAGCTGCAGGAGCAGGAGGAGGGATTGGAGGAGGAGTGATGAAGGACGTCTGTGCTGTTTCTGATCATCACTTCATCAGTGTCTTCATCTTCTGTCGTTCTTCTTCCCTCCTTCAAATGTTGCACAGAAACTCAACTGTCAAAACAAATGCTGATCAATGAAGGTCTGCTGATGAGCTGTCATGTGACAGTGTTTATTGATTATTGACACATCCAGCTGATCAATTTTGGCAGTTTGACATCTTTGATGATCAGGTTTGATTAGAGAGGGAACAGAACAGATGAAGTTTGGAGATCAGACTGTGTCATGATGAGCTCAGTGTCAATAATGTAAATATGTTTCTGTTTCTGTACAAAGTCTAATAAAACTAAATATAAATCTCCTGATATCCTCCTTCACCTCTGTCCACAGTCATTAAGACGTGTCAGCCTGACAGATGTTACAGAATCAGGTTTTTACAAATCTCCTAAAAATCTTGTATAATATATATATATATATATANTCAGACTGTGTCATGATGAGCTCAGTGTCAATAATGTAAATATGTTTCTGTTTCTGTACAAAGTCTAATAAAACTAAATATAAATCTCCTGATATCCTCCTTCACCTCTGTCCACAGTCATTAAGACGTGTCAGCCTGACAGATGTTACAGAATCAGGTTTTTACAAATCTCCTAAAAATCTTGTATAATAATATATATATATATATATATATATATATTTATATATACACATATATGTGTGTGTGTGTGTATATATATATAATCTATTTTCCAGGTATTTCTTTTATTGGAATGATTTTTTTAAAAGGAAACTGGAGTATTGTTAATGTTTGATATGAAACATTATGATTATGGCCACATCATGACATAAAATTTAATATACATTATATAAAACATATAAAACTGACACATTTAAATCCAATTGATTCAGTCATTCAGTTCTTTTTCAAACAATTTATTTTGTGTCCACGATGTCATTCACTCACTGAGCACACTGAGGAAAAAGAAAAGAAAAGAAAAGAAAAGAAAAGAAAAGAAAAGAAAAGAAAAGAAAAGAAAAGAAAAAAGTGAATTACGCGGCCGGCTCTGATTGGTCGAGCCGTGGCCCGTGCTCGTCCCGGAAGTGAAAGAGGAGGACTGATGTGTGTCTGGAGTGCAGGAATCTGTCGGTAACGGTTGTGTTCAGCGGCGGTTTTCTGCTTCACAAAATGGACACGTTGAACAAACTGAAGCAGTTTGACGCTTATCCCAAAACTCTGGAGGATTTCCGAGTGAAGACCTGGGGAGGAGCGACCGGTGAGCGGCCGATTTATCCCGGAGCGGGCGGTTAGCTGCTGCGGCTAACAACAAGGCTAACCGATTCATTCCACATTTTACCTGTGATAATTATCAGACGCGTCAACGACACGAAGTCACAGTGTTTTAATAAATGGAGAGAAGCTGAACACGGTCACAGTTTATCACGTTACACCAGATAAAAACACAAATACAGTCATTCAGCTTCTCTTCAAACACACTGACTGACTGGTTTACACAGCAGTTTATATTAGAGAGGTGAATTTAAAATAAAGCTCTGATACCTCACTGACTGGTGAGCAGTTAATATTAGAGAGGTGAATTCAGAAAGAAACTTTATTAATAGTTCACTGACTGACTGGTGTGCACAGCAGTTTATATTAGAGAGGTGAATTTAAATAAAACTTTATTAATAGTTCACTGACTGACTGGTGTGCACAGCAGTTTATATTAGAGAGGTGAATTTAAATAAAACTTTATTAATAGTTCACTGACTGACTGGTGTGCACAGCAGTTTATATTAGAGAGGTGAATTTAAATAAAACTTTATTGATGCCAGCAGCACAGACACAGGCCAGGCCAGATGAATCACTTTTAATGACATGAATAAAACAGATTTAAAGAGATGAAAGCGGTGACAGTAGAAAAGCTGTATACATTATATACACTTCAGTATCATAGACATAGAGAAATTAGAGGTGCAGCGATTAGTCGATTAATTGATCAGTTGATCGAAATAAAATGAACTGTTTTCATAATTTAATAATTGAAGTTAAAAAGTGGGAGGATTTGATGCTGCACACACAACATTAACCCCCCCCCCCTTCTCTCTGTCCCCCCACCTCCCAGTGACCATCATCAGTGGCATCATCATGTTGATCCTGTTCGTCTCGGAGCTGCAGTACTACCTCACTAAAGAGGTGAGTGTTATCTGATGAATGACTGAAAAACAAGAAGAAGAAGAAGTCCTAAAAGTACTTCAAGAAATGAAAGATAAATCTGTTTTTTATCTGATTATTTTGAGGTGATGAAAGTCACAGATGAATCAATGATCCACAGTCGATAACATTAGAGTGTAGAGGAAACACAGGTATCAGACCAGTCTGATGATGACAGTGACGGATCATTAAGTCTGTCAGACTTCTTCAGGGAAGTGTCTGCTGCCTCAGAGTCGGCCGTGTTTGAACTGAGATGTGTTTGTGCTACAGGTTCATCCTGAGCTCTACGTCGACACGTCACGAGGAGACAAACTCAAAATCAACATCGACGTCATTTTCCCTCACATGCCCTGCGCCTGTGAGTAACACAGCTGTTCCTTCTGGAGAAGCTAACATGCTAATGATTACATGTTGATTATAAACGCCCCCTCTCTTGCCCCCCCCCCCCACAGACCTCAGTATAGATGCAATGGACGTGGCCGGAGAGCAGCAGCTGGACGTTGAACACAACCTGTTCAAACAGCGTCTGGATAAAGACCTGAAGCCCGTCACCCTCGAGGCAGAGAAACACGGTACAGTGCTGACCTTTGACCTCCTGACAGGAGCTGCAGGGATCTTGTCACACTTCCTTATAGTGTGTTTTAACAGTGTGAGACAGAGAGCGGCAGTTTGCTGAGGTCAACACAGGCTAAAGCTAAGCTAAAGCTACAAAGGTTTTCTTGCTGACGTTGTTATTAATCTTGTTGATTTCGTTGTCGTTGGTGATGGTTTTGTTGATGATGTCATTGTTGTTGTGTAGAACTTGGTAAAGCTGACGATGGTGAAGTGTTTGACCCCACCACACTGGACCCAAACAGATGTGAGAGCTGCTACGGAGCTGAGACTGAGGACCTGAAGTAAGACACACACGCAGACACACACACCGTTTCTCTGTATTTTCTCTATGATCCTGTTTTTACTGGCCGTGTGTGTGTGTGTGTGTGTGTGTGCCTGCGTGCCTGCGTGCAGGTGCTGTAACACCTGTGATGACGTGCGGGAGGCGTACCGGCGGCGAGGCTGGGCGTTTAAAAGCGCCGACACCATCGAGCAGTGTAAGAGAGAGGGCTTCACTCAGAAGATGCAGGAGCAGAAGAACGAGGGCTGCCAGGTGTACGGCTTCCTGGAGGTCAACAAGGTGACACCACTCACCTGTCATCATCATTAGTATGTCAGGTAGTCAGCTGATCAGCAGGAGGAAACAGGTCTAATGTTCAGAGGAACAAGCTAGGTTGGTCTGAGACTTAGTTCAGGACATGTTGGACATGTCCTCATCACTTCTGTCTTTGTCTCTGCAGGTGGCAGGAAACTTCCACTTTGCTCCAGGGAAAAGTTTCCAGCAGTCTCATGTCCACGGTAAGACCTGCTGTCCCTCACTGTGTCCCTCACTGTGTCCCTCACTGTGTCCATACAAACCACCTCCAAAGGCTTTGTCACTCCCTGTGTTTTAATCAGGACATGCACCACAGGAGAGTCTGAACCTTCACTGAGACAGAGTCAGAGACAGAGTCAGAGTCAGAGGACGGAGTCAGAGGACGGAGTCAGAGGACGGAGTCAGAGGACAGAGTCAGAGGACGGAGTCAGAGACAGACGACGGAGACAGAGTCAGAGACAGAGACAGAGTCAGAGGACGGAGACAGAGTCAGAGGACAGAGACAGAGACAGAGACAGAGTCAGAGACAGAGTCAGAGTCAGAGGACGGAGTCAGAGGACCGGGACAGAGACAGAGTCAGAGTCAGAGGACGGAGTCAGAGGACCGGGACAGAGACAGAGTCAGAGACAGACGACGGAGACAGAGTCAGAGACAGAGACAGAGTCAGAGGACGGAGTCAGAGACAGAGTCAGAGGACAGAGACAGAGACAGAGTCAGAGACAGAGTCAGAGTCAGAGGACGGAGTCAGAGGGCCGGGACAGAGACAGATTCAGAGTCAGAGGACAGAGTCAGAGGACGGAGTCAGAGGACGGAGTCAGAGGACAGAGTCAGAGACAGAGTCAGAGGACGGAGTCAGAGACAGAGTCAGAGGACAGAGACAGAGTCAGAGGACGGAGTCAGAGGACAGAGACAGAGTCGGAGTCAGAGGACCGGGACAGAGACAGATTCAGAGTCAGAGGACAGAGTCAGAGAGACGGGGACAGAGTCAGAGGACAGAGTCAGAGTCTGAGGACGGAGTCAGAGGATGGAGTCAGAGGATGGAGTCAGAGGATGGAGTCAGAGGACAGAGTCAGAGGATGGAGACAGAGTCAGATTCAGAGTCAGAGGACGGAGACAGAGTCAGAGGACAGAGGACCGGGACAGAGTCAGAGGACAGAGTCAGAGGACAGAGTCAGAGGACAGAGACAGAGGACCGGGACAGAGACAGAGCCAGAGTCAGAGGACGGGGACAGAGACAGAGGACGGGGACAGAGTCAGAGGCAAGGACAGAGGACCGGGACAGAGTCAGAGTCAGAGGACGGAGTCAGAGGACGAGGACAGAGTCAGATGACGGAGTCAGAGGACGGAGTCAGAGGACAGAGTCAGAGGACAGAGTATCAGACACTTGATCAAACACATTACTGTCAGTTCACTTTCCCTTGAACAAACTCATAAGTCACAGTGCTGAATATGTCCAGTGCTTTATACAGAGAGCAGCTTGACTCCACAGTGTCTTTAGCCTGGTCTCTGAGTTCATCACTACCTGTTCATCCATCCATCCATCCATCCATCCATTCATCCATCCATCCATCCATTCATCTGTTCATCTGTTCATCTGTTCATTCAGTTCTGATCAGCAGCAGTGAATCTCATTCAAATTAGTTTTTATTAGAACATCAGTGAAGGGATGATGAAGATGACGAAGATGATGTCACAGTAAAAGCTGTGGTGTAGGTCAGGACCAGCTCAGTGTCTGTGTGTCAGCCATCTTGGCTTTACCTGACCAGGTGTTCTAGCACAGACTCAGGCTCCTCTGTCACAGCTGATGTCTGAGTCCTGGAGTCAGTCCTCAGGTCATCACGCTCCCACTGAAACTGATCCAGCTGATCTTCCATCTGCTCTGACTGGCAGATTTATTTTTAATTATTCATTTAATTATACATTATTACCTGATCATTGGTATTGATACTGTATCCGCTGATCAGCTGAAGCCTAAAACCCGTTTAGTTTCTCCTCTGTATTTGTCTGTTTGATTCCTGTGTTTCCTCCTTCACTGCTGCTGATTGTTGCTCTGCCATCGTCGTGTTTCACCTGCCAAACGTTTCCCTCATGAACCAGAGCAGGAAGTGAACAGCAACCAGCCATCACACACTCAGAGGAACATAGAGAGACATAGAGACATGAAGAGACATAAAGAGACATAGAGAGACATGAAGAGACATAGAGACATGAAGAGACATAAAGACATGAAGAGACATGAAGAGACAAAGAGACATAGAGAGACATGAAGAGACATGAAGAGACATGAAGACATGAAGAGACATGAAGAGACATAAAGACATGAAGAGACATAGAGACATAAAGAGACATAAAGAGACATAAAGAGACATAAAGAGACATAAAGAGACATAGAGACATAAAGAGACATAAAGAGACATAAAGACATAAAGAGACATAGAGACATAAAGAGACATAAAGAGACATAAAGAGACATAGAGAGACATGAAGAGACATGAAGAGACATAAAGAGACATAGAGAGACATGAAGAGACATAAAGAGACATAAAGAGACATAAAGAGACATAGAGCTATAAAGACATGAAGACATGAAGAGACATAAAGACCCTTTTCTATCAGCTGCTTCAGCAGGACAGAGCTACATCTTCAGGACAGTAGTTTGATACTGAAACAGCCAGTGAAACAGCCAGTGAAACAGCCAGTCAGGCAGATCAGTGTCCAAACAGTTTGTTTCATCAAACAGTGAAAATGGCTGAAGTTCAAATTTCTGCTGTGGGTTACCCTCCCTGAACACAACAGCATCATGTGACACGTGGTTGTGATGTGAGATCGGTGAATCTGATTGGCTGTGACAGCTGAATGTTTAGCAGCAGAAACAAGAGACAAGAATCACCTGCTGAGGTCCTGGTCCGTCTCACCTTGACTGCAGTGGTCTGTGTCTGGGGCGGTGTGGCGACTCTGACAGACATCTGACAGACTGATTTATAGATCACAGGAACAAAAAGTTAAATACATGAAATCAAACTAAAGCTTTAATACAAAAACCTCATGCTCTCTGAGGTAAGTTTCACAGTGTCCTGTCCTCATGTCTGTTCATGTCTCATCAGAACTAGATCTGTAGAAACGTTGTGTCAGAGTTGTGCAGCCACTCACACACTAACATCACCTGGTTTGTTGTTTACCTGCGTCATTGAAGTGACTCTTCTCTCTTCTTTCTGCAGTGCACGCTGTGGAAAGTAAGTCCATCTTTCTTTGTAGATTTTCATTGGTTTGATTGAAACGCTTTATTCCAGTGTAGTGAGCTGTTTATGGATCTACAGGAAGTACTGCAAGTAAACAGCCACTTATAATACAGACTATAACAGGTGTGAGTATACAGGTACTTACAGTACAGATTATAACATATACTTATACCTACACTTATAGTATACAGCAGAGAGCAGACATGTTTAACGTCTTAAAACAGAATCATTTCAAATCTGTTGCATTGAAAGGTGAGTCACAGGTGTTCCCAGGTGTTCCCAGGTGTTTCCACGTTAACACATCATATGAACATTCGGTAGCTTCAGACGAGGCTTTATTAGTCATTAATCACTAACATAACAGCCCTAAATCTCTGATCAGACTGTCAGAGGTGAGTTGCATTGTGGGTAGTGTAGGCTCTGGATTTTGAGCAGACTGCCTGTGGCTCAGTCAGTGTGACGGGACTGCAGTTTAAATCAATAGAGCTTTAAATACACTTTTTATATAAGTTCACAAGTGTTTCACTCTAATATAACGTTTCATTCTGTTGTGGTTCCTACTTTGTTTTAATTATTATTACTGAGTAAATTACACATAACTGAGCCATGACACATTACTCCACATCACAGTAATAACTGGACACAGTACATGGGGGAAAAGCTCGTGACCAATTACACAAATATTTATTTAACCTTTATTTAATAAGACTAAGATTAAAATCTCTTCTCCAAGATCGACCTGAGAACGAGAAGCAGACACACGAGACAGTCAACAACAAACCGAACTACACAACTCAGACCAGACCCTCAGAACCTCAGACCAGTACCTCAGACCCTCAGAACCTCAGATCAGAACCTCAGAACAGTACCTCAGAACCTCAGAAC